CCCCCTCCCGTGGCCCCGCCGCTGGCGGGGAGGGGACACCCCGAGGTCTCACTTGACAATGCTGCCTTTCTTCATGCTGAGCCGCACCCAGTGCTGCCCCGCGGGCCCGTTGCTCTCCCAGAAGCTGTATGTCTGGTTGTCCGTCAGACTGGCCGCGCCGCAGTCCCCCTGCAAGATGCGGTGAGCGGAGGGAGGCAGCTGAGCATCCTTGGGCACACTGCGGCCACCCCTGGATGGGTCAGGGGACAGCCCCTCAGTTTGTTAGCCTGTGGGTAGCTGAGCTTGGCCACAAGACCCCAAAGACACAAATGGGGCTTTGGTCCAGATGCCCAACTCCCGGCAGCTTCACCAGAGCAATGAAACCCCACCACCATCCCCTGCCCCTTGCACGGCTGATCCTCCCCGTAGCTGTGGTGATGCTTGTGTGTCTCACACTGGTTTTGGGCTGTGGTGGAGCCCCACTACGCACCACCTGCGAGGAGACCTCGACGTTGCTGACGTGCTCCGTCATGCAGTCCCCACGTTGCAGCACCCTCTCATTGTGATTATACAGGAAGCGCCCCAGCTCCATGTCGTGCTCATAGCTCCAGCCTGGAGGCACAGACCTGCAGGGTGGCCTTGTGTTAATTGGATGGGAAGAGCAAACCAAACCTGCTCACTAGCAGCGTGCAGGTGCCCCTGCTCACATTAGTCGCAGCATCTCATGGCCATCACATCATGGTGGCACCGGGCAGCTGTACCCACCACATGCGGATAACATGGCTGTATCTCACCACCGAACCAGGTGTTTATGGCCACCCCAGCCCAGTGGGAATAGCACCATGTGGTTGCTCCAATGCTCCATGGAGCAAAGGCCATGTTTGCTTGAGCAGCATCAAATGGTATCAATGTAAAAGGCATCTCAAGGCACCCTTCCTTCCCACTCCCTGAAGCCAGTCCTGACCCCACAGGCATGTCCAGCCCCAGCCAGACACCCCTCAGGTGTCAGAACCGCTCTAGGAGAGGCACTCATACCGAAACTTCTGCACCGCGGCCTCATTCTGCTCTACGAGTCTGGGCTTCTCTCCCAGGCGCATGGAGTAGGTAAGGTCCACCACTTGTTCCCAGCTGGAGCAGCACCAGTGGAGGATTCACACAAGGGAAAGAAAAATGGGTCAGTGCTCAGTATGTCCAAGCTTTAGGCTGTAGTGGAGACAGCAGCGGTGAGGGACTGGCGGTGACACCAGGAGCTGCAGGAATAGCTGTGGGAGCAATGAGAGTGTCCCTGAACCCAAATGCAGGGTGGAGGAGAGCAGGGAATCCAGCCCTGCATACGGCCATCCATCGTGAAAATCAAGTAAGAGCTCTCTCATCACTGCATTACCTCTGTGACACTGCTGAGCCCAAACCCAAGTGCCTCAGAAACCCCGGGCATCACTTTTATCCTGTGCAGGTGTTGCCACAAGCAAACAGGATTAGCCTATGAGGGGACACCCTTGGTTTGGCAGGGATGTGCCCCACCTGTGTGGGAGGGAGTGAGGAGGCTGTGCTGGATGTGCCCATGGGATTTGGGATGGTTGTGTCACACATCTAGGGTTACTGGCCACACACACCTGCAGCACCCACAGCCTGGGGTCGTACCTGACCGCGGGTTTACCGAACGTTGGGTTCTGCCACTGGATCTTCTCCACGGAGTCAACCGGGACCAACCTATCTCCCCCTTCTCCAAACCTCTGCGCGAGGACCCAGCCCTCCTCCTGGTCATGGTTTCCCGTGCACTCCTCCATCTGCTCCTGAAAGCGCACCCTGAGTCAACCGGGACCAACCTATCTCCCCCTTCTCCAAACCTCTGCGCGAGGACCCAGCCCTCCTCCTGGTCATGGTTTCCCGTGCACTCCTCCATCTGCTCCTGAAAGCGCACCCT